CACCAGCCCCTTATACTGACAGCCCGAGCCCTGGGATTGGACCCAGAGTCTGGCAGGACAGGGACAGTGACCCCAGGCCTGTGACAGGCTCCCTTTAGGGCACTTCTGCAGAAAAGGACCTAGGGGTCACAGTGGACGAGAAGCTGGATATGAGTCAACAGTGTGCTCTTGTTGCCTAGAAGGCTAACGGCACATTGGGCTGCATTAGTAGGAGCATTGCCAGCAGATCGAGGGAAGTGATCATTCCCCTCTATTCAACATTGGTGAGGCCACACCTGGAATATTGTGTCCAGTTTTGGTCCCCCCACTACAGAAGGGATGTGGACAAATTGGAGAGTCTAGAGGAGGGCAACAAAAATGATTCAGGGGCTGGGGCACATGACTTATGAGGAGAGGCTGAGGGAACTGGGATTGTTTAGTCTGCAGAAGAGAAGAATGAGGGGGGATTTGATAACAGCCTTCAACTACCTGAAGGGGAGTTCCAAAGAGGATGGATCTAGACTGTTCTCAGTGGTGGCAGATGACAGAACAAGGAGCAATGGTCTCAAGTTGCAGTGGGGGAGGTCCAGGTTGGATATTAGGAAACACTATTTCACTAGGAGGGTGGTGAAGCACTGGAATGGGTTCCCTAGGGAGGTGGTTGAATCTCCTTCCTTGGAGGTTTTTAAGGCCTGGCTTGACAAAGCCCTGGTTGGGATGATTTAGTTGGGGGTTGGTCCTGCTTTGAGCAGGGGGTTGGACTAGATACCTCCTGAGGTCCCTTCCAACCCTGAGATTCTATGATCCAAGCCCGCTCCTTAGCCTCCTGCCATGCCCAAGGCCCTGGCTGTCAGCTGGTAACCCCACAGCACCCCCAGTCCAGCTCTGCCCTACAGGAGCTGCATGGGGCGTCTGTGTACCATACAGCCAGGGTTCTGCCACGCAGTGGCACACGACCAACGCCACACAGGGGGGTGCATGGGACGGGGCGGATCTGACAGGCAGCGGCACACGGCCAGTGCCACGCAGGGGGTGTATGGGACGGGGCGGATCTGACACGCAGCGGCACACGGCCAGCGCCACGCAGGGGGTGTATGGGACGGGGCGGATCTGACAGGCAGCGGCACACGGCCAGTGCCACGCAGGGGGTGTATGGGACGGGGCGGATCTGACACGCAGCGGCACACGGTCAGCACCACGCAGGGGGTGTATGGGACGGGGCGGATCTGACATGCAGCGGCACACGGCCAGCGCCCCACAGATCTATTGCAATACAAAGAGTCCGAAGGGGGCTCAGGCAGGGCTACACGCTCCCCTCCCATCTCCTGTCCAGGGCTCTGGGGCAGATCCATCTCCCTGCTGTCTCCCTCCACCAAATCCTGCCCTGCCTCGCTCCTCTGCATTCCCCCCCCCCCCGCTGCAGCTGTCCCTTAGCCCAGCCGGGTGGGGTGGGTGGGGGGTGCCTGCCCTCGGTTACCCGGCGTAGGCCAGTCACTGAACTGCCAGGCAGAGCCCTCCCGACGCCCGGTGCCAGCCCCTCCCCTGCACTGGCTGCTCCATCCCCAGCTGCTGGGGTCAAACTGCAAAGGTCTCCTGCGCCCCGAGTGCCCCGCCCCTGCACACCGCCCCCCCCCCGCTCTCTCTGGCCCCAGCTCCGTGCCAGGATGGCCCCAGAGGAAGTGGCTTTCCTGCAGGAAGTCAGGCTGTTGAGACGTTGAGATAGGACAGAGGTTGGGGGGCGGGGGGCCAGGACCCAGCCTGGGCACCTGCTCTGCAGCCAGGGACAGCAGGGTCCTCTCCTACCCTGGTGACTTGGGCTCCATCATGGTACGTGCCACCTGCTCGGGGCCAGTGGGACAGGAAAGCACCAGCCCCTGCCCCACACACTTCACCCCCTAGTCCCCCAGCTTCAGCTGCCCTGCCCCTGCCCAGAGAGCCCCAGGACACCTGCAGGCCCGGCCCCTCCTCCGCTCAGCCCCTCCCTCACCCCGCCTCTCCTCCAGTTAGCCGGTCAGCCCCTCCCGGATCCCAGACCCGGGCTCTCCTCCGCTCAGCCCCTCCCTGGCTCAGTGCGTGCAGCCGGCAGCATCCGCTCCAGGACAATGGGGCTACAGGATCCGGCACAATGGCAGGAGGACCCCCCCGGGGCCCCCTGCCTGGCTCAGCGCAAAGGCCCACAAACATCCCCCAATGGGCAGCACTCCCACACTGATCCCCACCCCATCTCCCTGCCCCCACAGCGCCCCCTGCTGGGAGAGGTCTGCCTGGAGTAGCCGGGAGTCCCCCCCCTACCCAGCACTCCTGCCCCACCCCCCACAGCGCCCCCTGCTGGGAGAGACCGGGGCTGGAGTCACCGGGAGCACCCCCCCATACCCAGCACTCCTGACCCGCCCCCCACAGCGCCCCCTGCTGGGAGAGACCGGGGCTGGAGTCACCGGGAGCGCCCCCCCATACCCAGCACTCCTGCCCTGCCCCCCCATAGCGCCCCCTGCTGGGAGAGGCCGGGCTGCAGCAGCCGGGAGCGCCCCCCAGCTCTCTGGCCCTGTTCCCTACGATGCTGCCACGCCAAGACACGACATATTCAATTAATTTGCTCAGCTTCCGCTGCGGTGCATCTGAAGCGATCCTGAGGCCCAGCAAGGGGGACTCATGTGGGGGGGAGTCACGTACAGAAGCTGCCCTAGAGGCCAGTCCCCCTGTGCCGTGCCGGGACCCATCACAGTCCCTTTCGGTGTCTCTTGGCCAAGCCAGCCAGGCTGGGGCCTGGAGCCCGGCTGGGGCTAGACCAGAGAGACGCTGGCTCGGATCCTGGCTAACTGAATCCCTCTCTCGAGGGAGGCTGTCTCCCCAAGCCTTCCCCGACCCGCCTGCACTCCCCCCAGCTCCCTTTGTCTCTGCGCGGCTCCAATTACCCGTACATGTGACAACACGCTCCACTCCGAGCACACGCCGCTGCGGCGCTCCGGGAACACGCGTGTGGCTCTGCGTGTTCATTTGAACACAGGCAGGCCTGGCACCCAAGACCTACAGGGGAGGGATCCTGCCCTGGTGAAAATCTGGAGCTGCTCTGGCTTCCCACAGCACGGCTGGGCCCCGCGCTGGGCATGGCTCACACAGACCCAGGCGCCTTGTTGCCCGGACGGGTGCCAGCCCCGGGGGAGGGCGTTGCACTGACAGTAAGAACGCCCCGGTGCCAGGGTGTAGGTGGCATCCCGCAGACCTAGCGGCGTCCAGGCAAACAGGCCTGAGCAGGAGCTGCTCCTGCCCTCGGGCAGACATGCCAGCTTCCTTGGCATGGCTCCCACTGCCAGAATCTGGGTGAGGGGCAGAGCAGTGCTGCCTATGCGCCTGGGGGGCAGGGGCAGGGAAGGTGGCTAAGACGGGAGATATGGTGATGGGGACTCAGCCACTTCCCCTGCTGCCCCCTCCCCCCCCTCCGGCTCCTGCCTGCCACTTCCCCTTGCATTCCCACCTGGCTCGCGCCCAGCGTCCCCACAGGGTGACGTCACCGCTCAGTTGCGCCCAAAGAGAAGCAGCCCAAGCCACAGAGCTGCATGTGGTTTCTGGAGGAAGCCCTGTTCCCGTCCCAGCACCGTGGGGAGGGAGGAGGGGCGCTGGGGGCGCAAGACTGGAGGGAGCCTGTCCTGCAGAGCCAAGACTGGGCCCAGCGTCAAAGGGCAAACCAGTGGGCTCGGGGGGCTTTCCTGCTGCCTTGTGCCGGGGACAGACAGCCTGGCCTGGGAGGGTGAGTTAATAGGGGGGCTTCCTTCCTGTCTTTGGGGCTAGTCTCCCCTGGAGAGCGTGGGGGCGCTGGGACGGCTGCTTGCCCCTAACGTCTATTTAACTGGTTGGAGGCCAGGCCCTTAGCCCCAGAGCCGCCTGTCCGCGAGGGAGCGAGATTGGGCATCGTGCTCCAGGCAGAAAACAGCATCACAACCCCCCGCACACTGGGTCTAACACCCCCCACATGCTCCAGGCAGAGACCACGTCTCCATGGGGCCAGAGGGGGCACCCCAGAGCAGTGCGATGGCCCCGGAGTCCTGGCTCAATCCTCACCCGGATAACTCGCTCAGCTCCCCTGAATCCCTCTGCTGGGACGCCCCCCCAGTCCCTGCCCTGTGGCGCTACTGGGCGCTTTGGGATCCTGCTGGGACAGGCCGGGGCTGGTGTAGCCGGGAACTCCCCCCAGCCAGCGCTCCTGCCCCACCCCCCACAGCGCCCCCTGCTGGGAGGGGGCAGAACTGTTGCTGTCGGAGGTCCATTCTCCTGTCCCTATGGCCTTCCCCAGAGCCGCTCCCTGGATTAGCAGAGCTCAGCAGCCCAGCTCCTGTCCTGCCAGTGGGTTAAGCGGCTTGGAAAACAAGTCCAAAATCCACGGTCATTTCATAACCAGGGTCCTCCCATCTTCCCCTCCCCCGCTCACTAGCCCCCCCGAAACCCCAGCCGGTCACTCCGCAGAACTGCAACCTCGACATTTTCCACTTGCAGAAATCCCACTGTCCTGGGGGAGGGGAAATCGGTGCTGGGGGGGGGGGTGACTCCCTGTGGGAGGGCAGAGGCAGCTGGGAGGGGCGGGTTCAAGGCAGCCCAGCCTGGCAGCGCCTTGCTAGAGGTGCGGGTTCAAACAGGAATTGTTCGCTGGCAGTGAGACAACTGCTGCTTTTCCCAAACACCCCGCGGTCCAGCGAGCTTCCCAAGAGCGGGGGCTAGGAGGCAGGACTCCTGGGTTCCGTTCCCAGCTCTGTGGGGAGAGGAGTCCAGTGGTGGGGGGGGATTGAGAGGCAGGACACCTGGGTTCTGGCTCTGACACTAACTTGCTGTGTGACCTTGGGTAAGGCACTTGCCTGCTCCGTGCCTCAGTTTCCCCAGCTCCTGCTGCCCGTCGTGTAGGAACAGCGCACAGAATGCAGGCCCAGCGGCTCTGGGACTCCCTGGAGAAGAGCCAGGACCCCACAGGCCTGGACTCACGGCTGTCCCAGTGACTCCAGCTTTGCCCTGAGGTTCCTGGTCTCGCAACCCCACGGGGGGAGGGGGGGGCACCGCTAGTTCAGCGCGGAGCAAAGGGCTCCAGGAAAGTCTGTTCCGTCTCCCAAACCTTATCACACACCCGGACCACTGCGCCCCCCCACAGTGCCTCACCCCCTTCTCTGCCACTGTACAGGCTCCCGCCCCACTGCACAGCCCCCCACCCCATGGCACAGCCCCCCGCCCCACTGCGCCCCCCTGCACAGCCCCCCACCCCATGGCACAGCCCCCCGCCCCACTGCGCCCCCCTGCACAGC